TCTTTCCCTTTCCCCCTAGCCTTTATGTCATGTCTGTTGCAAGATCACAAGGCTACCCTGTTATAGAGTATGTCCTGTCCACTTTCTCCTTCCCTTTGAACCTCTACAGTGCAAGGAGAAGATTCTCAGGGCAAGGAGATGGATCCTAGGAGGCAGGTTCTTATGTTTGAGTCTATTATAAATTCAAACACAAGACATTTTGCATGCATCTACATTGGTCTTGTTTATGGCATTTTTGCTTGTAAAGGGTGAAGTGTTTTTACACATTTGTTTATCAAAATTAATTCTTTCCAATTAAGTATAAAATAAATTATAATATTTAGTGTCTGTTCGTATACACGAAGGTCAACCTCGTGATTAGCCATGTTTATTTATTAGATTAACTAAGTAATCATGTCTGGCTGATGTTTTGAAACCTGAATAATGGAAGGGCAATCATTTAAGCATGTTGGTTTAGAGTGGCATTAACAGTAGATCATGAGAAATAAAGGGGCAACTAATTAGGATTTTGTATGGTCAAAGTTTTAATTTTAAATGAAAAGACAGGGGAAGATGTCAGTAGCCGGAAAATTGGCATGGCCTCCAACCTTACCTTTACAGCTTCAAAATTATTTTTTTAAGCTTTAAATAATTAAAGAGCCAAATTTAAAATAGAAAAGTCAATTTTCTTTTCCTCAATTTAATTACTTTTTTAATACATTAAAAAAAATTGCAATCTCTGCCATTTAATAGTAAGATCATTCTTATTAAATTCCCAAGACGGACGTGAAATGTTTTATTAACCAATATTTATACTTTGAATTTTGCAATTAAAATATTTGATTATTAATTAAATTCAAAAATATTAAATCATATATAATACCCTTTTATTTTTTATTTTTTTCTATATTTTCCCTACTTTATTTATTTCCCCACCTTTTCCCGCAAAACCGCAATTTCATTTCCGTCGAAGAAATTCTGTATCCCCTCTAATTTTTTTTTTATTTTTTCCATTTTTTTTTTGTGATTCTTTAAACTTTGATGTTAATTTTCACTAACACAAAAAACCCACCATTGAAGCTCTGAGCATTCTCTGAAATGGTGGAGATTTAAGCTAGAAAACCCACCTTATCTTTCTAATATTTGGAGATTCAAAGCAAAGTTTGAATCTTTTCTGTTTTCTTAAAGCTTAGCTTGTCTGAGCCCATTTTCTCCAAAAAGGACTTATCTGTAAGCTAATTTTTTGTTTGTTATTGTATACCAAGCACTACAACTTCAAAAAGTTTCGATTTTTCATGTTTGTAAAGCTCTAGAGTTTGCCGGGTTTAGGGTTTTCTTTTTTTATGATCTATGAAGTGATGGAGACGAAAGAGGGAATTTCAATAGATTCTGGTGTAACAGTCAAGATAGAAGAAGTGCGTGTTTTGCGTTGCAATTATGTTTATAAAAAAACGTTGTCGTTATGTGTTTCGTTATGATTTAACCGCAAGATAATCAAAAGCAATTTCAAGCTATTTTTTGTATCGAGTTGCCAACTGTGTTTATAATTACAGTAAACATAGGCGCGGAAGAAAAAGAACAAAAATAGAGCAGTGAACGATGCACAGTGAAGAGCAACTTCTTCAGTTCATCACGCTCTCCGTCGCTTTCACTATCAGTCATTGCTCTCTCCCTTCTTCTCTTTTATCTTTTGTATTCTCCATTATAGCAGTTCACCCCCGGTCCCAGCTGTTTTCACCACCAACCATTATCTTTTCTTTTTTCTTTTCCTTTTTTTTCTTTCTCTTTTGCATTTTCCACTATTCATATAAACAATGAAAAGCGTCTTCTTTTTCATCATTACATCATCTCCATTTCAAACTTAAATATCAGATATCTAGATTCCATTCATTAAAATAAAAAAATCTAAAATAAAATTTTTAAATATTATATTTTATTTAAAAACAACTAGTATTTAACATTATTCAATAACACTATATAAATATATTAGAAAGAAATTACATAATGATATAATATTTATAGAACTTGATCATATTTTCAATTTTATTTTTTATAATATTTTACCTGATGTGATGATATTTTATTTGATGTTGTTACAAGTTCAGGAAGCCATAAAAAATGTAGTCTTTGTCGGATGATCTTTGTAAATGATGAAATTACAAATAGTTTAATTGAATAATAAAAAAATATTATATTAAAGTATTGTTTATTTCATAATGTAATAGCAATAGTTAAATCTATAATATTTTAATTAAAAATTATTAATATTAATATATATATATATATCTTTTTTAGTTATTTTATAACCTCAATTTGAAAAACATTCTTAGTCAAATACATTAAATTATTTTTTTATTCAACTTTAATTTCAACCATAATTTTTCCAAACTAATCTTAACTAAAAATATTTTTTATAATATAATTTTTTTAAAACTATAACAATTACCACAACACCAAACACACTTGAAATTTATTAATAGGTGGCATTTAGACATGAGAATCCTAAATCTAATCCCAACTCAACCCCAAATCTAACTCTATCTTGTTCCAAGTTTTAACTCTAGTGGGTTAATAGTAGATGTCTTTTTAGTAAAAATGTGTTTGAGGTTATAATAGTGATTGTTGTTTAAAGCAATATTTATTTAAAAATATATTAAAATAATATTTTTTAAAAATTATTTTTAATATCAATATATTAAAAAAATTAAAATTTAAAATGACAGATGTAAGTGTAGGTGGTACAAGCACTAGGGTCAAGAAGAAAAAGGGAAAGGCCTAGAAAGTGTGCCCCTAATGGAACCTTAAATACAGCATTGTCACCAAAGCTAATATCATCTTCTATTCTACTTTTCGAAGACTATTCTGCATGGACACGTGGTAGAGGACGGCCCGTGAAGTTAGTCAAGGAGCATCATAATTATGAACATGAGAGCACAGAGAAAAAGAAGAAAAAAGATCAGTTCTAGTTATTGTTGTTATAAGTTTTGAATCTTTGAAGGTTTAGTTTTAGTTACTGTTAATTGTTATGTTTTTTTTAGAATGTTTTAACGTTATACTGTTACATTTAGGAATCATGAATTTATTTTGTTAAATCATTTGAGTTGGTTATAACTGAGGGTGTGCTTTTTGATGTTTATAATGTTTTTATACATGGCTGGTTGTGTTTGTGTACTGAATCTGAAATGGGTCTTGGTTTATCAATACAGTCTAAAAAAAACGTTCATATTCGAGTTAGGTGGGTATTCATTGATTTTGAAATTAAATATATGTCCAGGTTAGGTTGATATCCATCAATTTTAAATTAAATTATCATTTTTATTTAAAACAAAATATACAGTGCAATTATCCTGTTTGAATAGCGTATTATATGATTCAACTGCATGATTTCGGAGACATCTCGGTGGTATACAGCTTTGATCATGCATCTATAAACCAGTTTAGATCATGTATTTATCGACCTTAGATCATTGTAGTGCGCATCCGATCTGATATGGGATGGAACTTGACAGGTTCACTCTGCCAATTCCTAATGTCACGGGAACCGGACATGTTCCATTTGAGTATTTTCAAGAAGCGAGAAATTTTAGTGTTGTAAAGGGAACGGGACACAATCTTGATTGAGACTTCTTCAAAAGAAAATCTGGAAAAAGACCTCAAATCCAAATAAAAACAAGATTAAAAAAGGGTGGGAGAGGGGGATTAGGTCATAAGTCCTTGTCAAAGAAAACTATATTGACTTTGTCTTCTACATTTAGTGGTGCGATGTAACTTTATTTGGAATTGAATAGTCTAAAGTATTAATATCGCTTGAAGTTCTTGGTAGGTTCTCTAGCCATGCACTTGCCTTTGTCTATGGATGGTTGATTAGACGAATGATCTCTTCCACAGGAAAAAAAAAAAAAGAACCCAAATGAAAGTAGCATCTCGTGCTACTTTTATTTGTACCTTTTGTCAACACTTTATTTGTCCACGTGAGAGGATAATCCAAGCTAAATCAGGCTGTCAATTCTTAAAAATGATTCAAAGACTTAATGCTTAAACAAAGTTACCCGTTCTACCGTTCCCTTTGGGCTCCAATTGTGCCCTTTCCATGGCTTAATCCACCTTTTCAATGCCTGTTTAGCCCTTATCCATGCTCAAGAGAATCGCAGTCAAGCTTTCTGTTGTTTATTTGATCATTCTAAAGGGTTGAACCAGCGGTCCGTGGGTTGGCGTGACGACTCATTAGCCAAGGCCTTCAACTGCTCGGACCGGCTCTGACACCTACGAAAATCACTGGAGTTTGCTGAGTGTTTTCATAAGTGGTTCACACATAAATGCTAAAGAAGAAATCCAAAACTTTATGTACTAAACTACTGTCCAAAACATAGGAAGGTAGTAAAGAAATTGCAATGGAACAGTAGTTTTCATTTTCTGAATGGTGAGTTTTTGTAATATTGCTTTCAAACAGTACAATCAAGATCTTCTCAGTGAGTTGTGTCATCGTTATTCGATTATGTACAGCACTGGAAAGATGATGACCATAACAAACTCTAGCAGCGTCACGTTTCCAAGTTATGGGCCAACCATTCAGAAACTCCTATCAAGTTATTTCCAGGCTAAACATGATGCCTTGATGATTCTGTCCTCCATTCATGATTGATTTTGTTGATAAACTCATCAAATCTTCTCCTCAGCTCCTCATCTTCATCTCCATATCCATCTTCTTCATCGTCTTCGTCACCGTCGCCGGTGGGTTCTTCCTGGGTGATTGACACATTCCTGTCATCTATTGATATCTCGTTTCCATCAAGTGAAGAAGGCTTAGCCAGGATATCTTCTTTCACCTTTGTGTGTGTGTTGATGACCATTGACCTCGGAATTTCCCTTTCTTGATTTGAGCCCATGAGGATCATGACAATGATCAAATTGCAAAAGCAGAAGATCACAAAAGAATTGGAAGCAGCCTGAGTGATCAATTCTAGTGTAGACTCAAACATGGTTCTGAAAAGTAGGGAGGAATCAAAGGATATGGAATCGACAAAAACCTGGAGGGATAAAGTGTTGTCGGGAGGAAAAGAGCCACGCCCTTTTAAAGCCCTGTATTGATAAGCTAGAAAGAGTTCAGAGGGAGCTTTTTGTAGCAAATGCTAAGGGCTATAAATATAATGGGAAATGAAATATTATATGCTTTTATTTAATCAGTAATGTATCAGAGTGTTCTGGGAAGCTTCTCTTTGCCAAACAAGAACGCACATGAAACCATTGATCAGCTTCTCATGCACTCTAATGTCACCCTATTGACATCACCACTCTGAAATTGTGTTTTTCCTTTTATTTTTCATTTTTGAGTCTATCAGTTTCTCTTTTCAAATTGTTTTTCATTAAAAAAAAAACATTAAATTTATGTTTTTTATGTCTCTCTCATGATGTTCTAGTGTTAAATCCAAAAAAAAAATCTAAAAAAATAATTATTTTGATGGATGATGATGATTCACAATATTGCTCATGCACATTTAGGTGGAGGATGATTTAATTCTATTAATTATTGGACATTCACAATGAGCAGTACTTTTGATGACATGATATGATAGAGTGAAAAGAAACTTTACCAGTCACTCTTCAGCTTATTGGATGAGGCAAAATCAAACAGCTGTGAATTTTAGGTGGAAAAATGTTTGCTCATTTGTTTGAAAAATCTGCCAACAAATGGGGCTCAAGGAGGAAAAGTTAATACATGTAGTGACAGCACCCACAGTCTAGACTCATCTAACTGTTGGCACTTCTCACCGACAACAACAGTAGCAACACAAGAACTGAGAAAAATGCTAGCAGCTGATAATTATGAAGCTAAAGAGACCTGGGATTTCTTAGGGTTGACTTGTTAAAACACGTTGTGAGTATGGGCATTAATCTAGGATGCTGGTACAGAGAAATACTGAAATCTAATTCATGATTGCTCACCAACTGCAGTTGATTTTCATTGGATACAGAAAAAAAAAGGAACAAGGTGAGATGCATTGTGATGGATGGGATGAAAACGATAAAAGGTTAACTGCGAAGGAAGCAGGCCTTGATTGTTTTCACATGAAACAAACGCCAAATTTCAGTGAAAATAGCATACCCAAACTGGATAATGAAAGAGGAATTATATTTAGCTGCAACGCAGGATAGGCGGGAAACGTGCAAGACTAGATGAAATTGAAGGGCTTGAATGTAATGTAATGAAGAATCGATTGAGATAGAATGATAATAGAAAATCATGATTTCATACCGGGATCTGGACAAAATCGAAATAGATAGTGTGAAGGAAATTAGTACTTCAATCAAACAAGCTTGAAGATTACACGAATTAGAGGGAAAAAAGGGATAAGCTCAAAACCCTATTACAAGCCCTTCCAGAAACAATTGCAAAGAGTTGTAGCTGTAGTCTTTAGCAAAGCAAAATCAAACAACAGTTTATCACCTCTTCCTTTTCTTATTTCCGGCAGCACTGCCTTTCTTGAAGCCTCTAAAATCATCAGTGGTGTCAGCAGTGTTCTGCTTCTTTAAACCTTTCCTCCCTCCAAATCCAAATTTGGAATCCCTTGATTCCCTCTTGAATTTTTTCTTTTCTGGTCCATTTTTCCCCTTCTTCCAAGGTTGTCTCCCCTTCCCTCCAGACCGATCTCCTGGAGACACCCCTGGCCTCTTCTTGTTCGACCTTTCAAACACTTTTCCATCTTCAAAGGGCATATCCAACTCACCATCCTTGTCGCCTCCAGCAAACCCACTTTGTTTCCTCTGTTTCCTCCAGTTCTTAACAGTCTCTATCGCTGCCTTTTTCTGTGAATTTCTCTCTTTCTGCTTCTGGGCCTGAACCTCTTTAGCTAGTTTCTTAGACTCTCTAGCTTTCCTTCTCTCCTCAGCCTCCTCAATGCTTCTCTTCTCTGCCAAAAGCCGGCCCTTCACTTTCTCCATATGAGTATCTGACTTCGCCATCTCAGCATAATAATCAGGAGGCCTGAGAAAAGGAATCCCCATCGACTCTAGCTTAGCATATGCCTGCCTTGTTCCCTCTAAGGCTTGTGTGTAAAAAGCAAGCTCCCTGGTCAGGTCATCATTCACGTCCACCTCTTGCACTTGATTGAAGTCAATCACAAGTTTGTGGATCCATCCAACATTCTCTGGCCAAATAATATCTTGAAGTTTGTCAGCAAGACCATCTCTATTGAATATAGCATTTTTAGATGGTTCAGGCAACTTCACATCTTCATCCTCCGATTCTGACTCAGATCCAGACAATTTTTCATCAAGATTATCCATTTCATCATCGGTTATCAGCTCCTCATCAGACAGGGTCGATTCTTCCTTGTTTACCACCATTATACAAACCTATCACAATCCAAAACCTAATTACAATTAATAAGCACTCCAATATCCACCCAAGCATGAAGATAGCAGATATTACTCATGGATATCAATACATAAACTCAAAATTAAGCTAAAAAGGTACCAAAGAATAACATAGTGACAAGTTCTCCTCAATCAAATTGGATTCAGATCCTCTACAAAGTAAATTGGCGCAGGTCTACAACCCCGGATAAAGCAAACCACCAAAAAACACAACACTCAGATTGGCTCAACAAATCAAGATTAGATAATCCAATTTAAATACTTAACCACCAAGAGAAACCCTTAATTTATGCAATAAAATTCGCACTAAATTGATAACAAGACCATCAAACAAATACAGACAGAGCCTAAAATCAACAAACTCTAACGACCCAATTCAAAATTCTTCAAACCCAGAAGCTATTTTAGCATAAATTTTATAACTTTCAACAAAAACAAGCTAAAACACTACTTAAAGCGAAAAATCGAAGATGCAGAAAACGGAGCCATTAACTATACAAAAGCAAGCCGTTTCGATATAAGAAAAAAATAGGTAGCGTGAAAGAAACTAAGCAGGTTAGGTTTAGAGAAAAGGAGAAAAATTTTACCTTGTTAGAGAGTGAGGAAAATTGAGATTCGTTGAGAAGAAGATTATATTGTAGAAACCGCAAGTGCAACTAATAGGGTAGCAAGAAGAAGCGTGAGTAAAACCCTAAACCCTAATTTGACAGGGCACACCTGGGCCTTAGCCCAAACCATGGACGCTTTAAGGGGCCTCGATGAGCCTTACATGTGGTCTTGGAATTGTGTTGTGTTGTTTTAACTAGTTTTTGGTTGTTACGTGGTGACTATTTTTTAAAATATTTTTTATTTTAAAATATATTAAAATTATTTTTTTATTTTTTAATAATTATTTTTAATATTAAAATATCAAAAATATATTAATTTAAAGTAAAATAAAAAAATTCAATTTTTTTAAAAATACTTGACAATGTTAAACAAATTGATACATTAGGGTGATTAAATTAATTAAACTATTTATAATATTTATAATAACCGACCTGAAATTAATTAAAACTAAAATGCTTGTTGAATTTTCTAGATAATTTTAATTATAAACTAAAAACTCATTAAATCCCATTCAATAAAAAAATCTAATAAAAAATTATTTAATTTAAATTAAATTTATTTGGTTTTATCAAATTTAAAATTGAATCGAACTCTAAATTTATCAAATTAATTTTTTCATTTGGTTCAGTTAACTTAAAATTATTTAAAAAATTAAATATTTTGATCATCCCTACTTGATATTTCCAGGTTCTTTCTAGTTATGATCTTTCAATCCCAAATATTTTCTATGATAAGTTCTATGGTATAGAGCTTTGAATTATTGATTTAAAGCTTCTTTTTTTTCATGACATGGCTGTTGGGGGATGTTTAATATGCAACGGCAATAGGTTACATGTTTTTTAATTATATTTAGTTGCATGTTAGAAGTATATTTATTTTAAAAAATATAAAATTAATATTTGATTTTAGAAGTATATTTATTTTAAAAATATAAAATTAATATTTTTTTATTTTTTTATAATTTTATAATTTTAATATTAAAAATAAAAAAGTAAAAAATATTTTAATTTATTTACAAGTCAAATCACCTTTAATAATTATTAAGCAACGTCATGCCAAACACGCTTACTGAGATGTGTTATTCCACCAAATTTATTTAAAAACTACGTCGTTTTACTATTAAAAAAATTAGAACTATAGACACCCTTTCTTTTGCTGGGCTTCTGTCGGCTAGAATGCCTTCCCTTCCAAGTGGGCAGATTAAAAAACAAGGGGCGGGCGCCGCGCCCATGATCGCATGGATATCATCATGCATTACTGGCCCGCCCACGGTAAATCTTCAACCTTTTACTCTACGAATTTTGATGCAAGACCCCTGCCGTCGATTGGGCCCCACTCAACCATAAAGAGCCACGTCTCACGTGATGATCGAGAAACCAATCAAACCATCCACATCAACGGTTTTGATCTTACCACCCGTGGTTTTTAGACTCCAATAAATGAAACCCACTCACGCCCTAGTTTCAGCATCTCTGTGACTGTCTTAGGAAAAAGAACAGAAAAGAGAAACCTCAGGATCTTCGAAGTGTTGGAACATCAGATCAACAATGGTAACGATTAAGGCTGTTAAAGCTCGTCAGATTTTTGACAGTCGCGGAAATCCCACCGTTGAAGTAAGTCTTTCTTGATTCAATTTTAGTCATCCAATGATAACCCGTCATTTTTTTCTCTCACTTTCGATGTGTTTTTATGTTTGATGTTATGTTTGGATGTTAAGAAAAAGTGGGGCAGATAAAATCTTCAGTTTCGATATTTTCTTGGTAATAAAAGAGGAAGCTTTGATGCAGATGCGTTATTGAGTTTTTTGGGATTTCTTTTTGTGCTGGCAGTTGCGTTTTGATGTTTGTTTGGATGTTAAGAAAAACTGGGTCAGAGAGAGTTTCGTTTTGGTGCTTTTTTGGGAATAAAAGAGGAAGCTTTAGTGGAAAGCATGACTGGGATTTGATTTTTGTAGTCCGTGCTTTCGTTTTGTTGGTGGTTTCTTGTGTATGTATTTTTGGCTTATGAAATGGTGGGTTTTAAAACAATAAACAGGCTGATATTGTGCTCTCTGATGGAACCTATGCTAGAGCTGCCGTTCCAAGTGGTGCTTCCACTGGTAAAGATTATTACTTTTTGTGTATTTCACAAGTTCCTGTTCAAGATTTACGTGTTATGTATGTATTACTGTTTACTTGATCCAGATTTGATTTTGTGTACTTGTGTTTTAAAAGGTGTCTATGAAGCTTTAGAGTTGAGAGATGGAGGATCAGATTATCTTGGGAAAGGTGTACTTAAGGTATCTGCAGATCATGTTCTCGTGTATATTGGCCGTACTGGCTATTGAGATTGTTTCTTAATTTTCTTTTTGTGTCGTGATGATTTCAGGCTGTAGGTAATGTCAATTCTATCATTGGACCAGCCTTGATTGGCAAGGTAATATATGGAAATTCAATTTTTTATTTTTATAACGCGTGTCTTCAATCACAAACAGTGATTGATGATTGATGTTGGTCTTCTTACAGGACCCAACAGAGCAGGTTCAAATCGATAATTTCATGGTACAAGAGCTGGATGGAACTGTTAATGAATGGGGTTGGTGCAAACAGAAGGTTTGTTTAATTTCTCATCTCATCAACATTCTATTTTGCTCGTTGAGAATCATTTGTTTAATCTGTTAATGACTGGTAAGTTGTATTCTAATTGAGACTTCCCCCTTTTTTTTTAATTATTCCAGCTCGGAGCAAATGCTATATTGGCAGTGTCACTTGCTGTTTGCAAAGCAGGTGCAATGGTTAAGAAGATCCCTCTTTATCAGGTATGAATGCTGTGCTAGTGTAGTCTGCTGTTCTGTTGTTTCATTGTAATCCTTGGGGGGTTCATTGTTGTGATATCATTTATCTTGCAGCACATTGCAAATCTTGCTGGAAACAAGACCTTGGTTTTGCCAGTACCTGCATTCAATGTCATCAATGGAGGTTCCCATGCTGGAAATAAACTGGCAATGCAGGTAAATTTGATGACAACTCACACGTGGTTAAATGCCTTTTTTCTTTTTTGGTGCTTGCCTTCAACATTTGTCTTTCAACAGGAATTCATGATTCTCCCTGTTGGGGCATCATCTTTCAAGGAAGCCATGAAAATGGGTGTAGAAGTGTATCATCACCTGAAGGTAATTTTATGTTTCTTAAACTTTATTCTCTTTTATGTTCAATTCAAATTACCACTGGCTTATATTGTAACTTCTTGCATGTACATAAAGTCTGTGATTAAGAAGAAGTATGGACAAGATGCCACCAATGTTGGTGATGAAGGTGGCTTTGCTCCTAATATTCAGGTAAAGCTGCTAGCTACCTGTTCATGTTCTAATTGTTGCATTGGAACTGCTAAGTCTCGCTGGTTATCAATTGGGTTTGTTGTTAATGCTGCTAGCTACCTGTTCATGTTCTAATTGTTGCATTGGAACTGCTAAGTCTCGCTGGTTATCAATTGGGTTTGAATTAAACTGGGCGAGTAGTGCTTAACTTGAACCGTGTCTTATGTGTAGGAAAACAAAGAGGGCCTTGAACTGCTCAAGACAGCGATAGCCAAAGCTGGATATACTGGAAAGGTTGGTGCCCTTTCTGATGTTAACGTGCTTTATCATTCTCTTGTAATCTAATTAATTTTCTGTTTCCAATGCTAGGTTGTGATTGGGATGGATGTTGCTGCGTCAGAGTTTTATAACGACAAGGACAAGACCTATGATTTGAATTTCAAGGAAGAGGTAATCACAAGTTTGACAACCAAATGCTTTGTGCCTGCTTAGAATGATTCTATTTAGAAGGTTGGATTTAAACTTGTGACTCTAAGCCTATTATCTATCTGTCTCAGAACAATGATGGATCACAGAAGATATCTGGAGACAGTCTAAAGAATGTATACAAGTCATTTGTGGCTGATTATCCAATTGTGTCCATCGAGGATCCATTTGATCAAGATGATTGGGAACACTATGCTAAGATGACTGGTGAAGTTGGTGAACAGGTGCAAATTGTTGGTGATGATCTACTTGTCACAAACCCCAAGGTGATTCTGGGAGCTAGTTTAAAATATTAACCTCGGGGCATCAATGCTCAGCTTTGTCTGATGTATGATGAGATAAGCACATTTTCATATTGATTGGGCTTATAATTAAATGTTTGATTTTGTTGCAGCGTGTGGAGAAAGCAATTAAGGAGAAGGCCTGCAATGCCCTTCTATTGAAGGTAGTATGAACAAAAAAATATATTTGAGGCGAGGCATCCTATTATATTGGAGCTACCAACTCTGAACAGTTTTACCTTCTTACACAATTTATCAGGTGAATCAAATTGGTTCTGTAACTGAAAGTATTGAAGCTGTGAAAATGTCTAAACATGCTGGGTGGGGTGTCATGGCAAGCCACAGAAGGTACATCCTTGTTTTTTTGTGGCTTTGATTAATTATTTTTCCACCGATGAACATTTCTAAAATGGTTCACCTTGTTCATTGCAGTGGTGAAACTGAGGATACTTTCATTGCGGACCTTTCAGTTGGATTGTCCACTGTAAGTACTAGGGCATTTCCCAAGTTCTTGCTGTTCTTGTTTTTTACCTTCCAAATTATGTGCTCTTGTTATTTTGCCTCCAATTAAAATTTTTGGAGCGCGTGAATTGCATATGTTGATGATGTATTGGTACTGTTGCTGGAGGCTTGAGCTGATGTTTACCCTCTTTTCTTCCTTCACAACAGGGACAAATCAAAACTGGAGCTCCTTGCAGATCAGAACGCCTTGCAAAATACAACCAGGTAGATGGAAATGTCTTTCAACTCTTGACCATCAAGAAGTGATTTTATCATCTCTTGCCTTTTCTCAACTCTGCGATCTGAACTAATGGTGATTGACCCCCCCACCCTGGTACTTTTTTAACTGCAGCTTCTCAGGATAGAGGAAGAGTTGGGATCTGCAGCAGTATATGCTGGAGCAAAATTCAGGGCACCGGTTGAACCTTACTAAAGCATTACCAGTCTTACTGAGCAAAATTCAGTACCTCTAAATAAGCTCGAGCTTAGTGCTTGTACTGTGCATCATATAGTTTTTGCTTGGTAGTGAAGGATGTTTTTGCCATCGCGGCTAGTTGCTTAGATTACCTGAGGGCGTGAGTTCTGGACGTTTCGCAGCTGGTTTTCGTTTTGATTGTTAATAATATGCTTAAACTGTGAGTTATCACAAAGTTTTGAGTATGTTCAAGTTCTAAAAACATATTTTCCATGACATGCCTTGCACTTTACCTCATAAGAATCAGTTTTTAAGACTACCTTAACAACCATGATCTGTAGAACTCTCTCTATATGAACGACTGGATGGTTTCAAAGTTGCCCTTGTCAGCTACTACAAATATTCGAAGAGCTTTTATAAACAAGAATTTTCTAAAGGATGGTACTGATTGATTCTTGTGCATGGTCAGAAAATAAATAAAAAATTAATTTTAAATTAAAAGAAATCAAGATTTAGTGCCACAAGGTTACACGATAAATAAATTGTGTTTGTAAAAATTATTTTTTAAATATTACTATTTTTGTTTGCTATTAAAAAAATTAGTTAATAAAAAATATTTTCAGTTAAATAAAATTTGAGTAGATTTTTAATAAAATACTTTTCAGAATATTTTTTGAAAGTTTAAAAAATTAGAAATGTTATTATTTATTAATTATATTAAATTTAATTTTTAATTGCTATATATATATATATATATATATATATGGTTTTGAATATTTTTTTATTTTTTAAAATTTAATTTGTATATTAACTTTGGTTTTTATTTTTATAGTTATTATTTATTTATTTTTTCTATTAAATTTTTTATTTATCAAATTTGATCTTTATTTTTATTTTATTTTATTTTATTT